ATTGGATAAATCTCATCCAATTTGAGCTCTCCTTGGGCTAAAAGGCTACGCTAAACTGCCTCTAGCACAGCTTGAAAGATTCATAAATCTTTCCTAACCAGCAGCTCTGGCTTCCCTTCTCCCTCCTTGCTGCAGCTGCGATATTTTCGGTGAGGTCCAGCTGAGAAGTCGCAGCTCAAGAAACTGCCTTCCAATGCGGCCGTGACATTCATCTGCATTATTGTTATTATCGGAGAATAGCAAACCAAAAGTAGCTTCAGCGGACTGTACGAACCGCGAGGGCCAAGGGGAGTTGAGATCACAAGGTTAAACTATTACTTCCATTCGGGGGCCACTGGCCTCCAGGTTTAGAGCCCCTTCTCTTTAAATAGCCAAAACATATTTTAGAAGGTTGAGTTACGAGACGCAGCGGGCCACAATAACATTTCCACTAAAGTTGACTTTGGACGGGAAACAGACATTGCTAAATATGTACATATCAACGGAGCTACACATGCTAGATCATTGGACGTCTCATAATACAAAACACCATGTGGGGACAAAGTCACTGCTTTCAACGGTACCAAAGGACGGGGATGTCTTCACTTGAGACGTTCTAGGTTCGACACAGTTTTCCATCCTGGCTTGAAGTGCAATGCATGTTATATTTGACGCTAAACTAAAGACGTACCTGCTACCTGCTTTAAGGTGGCGTTTTACATTGTGTGCTGCTAAATTCCATCACGGCAAAAAAAGGGGGACAGGACTTTGAGGAGAACTGGCGACAATTCTATGTGGGTTCACGTAGAATTGTGGCGGGGGCTCGCCCACTGGCTCGCGGTCTCTGTCAGCGCCGCTAGCTGGATAGATACGCTCACCACCACGCAACACACGTGCACGACTTGATTTGACCAACCCGTGGACGTTTGCTAAAAAACTTAAACGTAATCCCCCAAAACACGTCCCAAATTCAACCACAGCATCTGCACACGCACACAGGCCCACAAAGAGGCCTGCAGGGCGGGCGGGATCGACTGCGATCGCTCCTTACAACAGAAGCGACACACACACACACACACACACACACACACACACACACACACCGGGGTTTCAATCACCTTGTTTTACAATGAGTCGGCAAGCCGTGAGTTACCCTCCTCTGCTCTCAAATTTATGATACTTGAAGCAACTTCAGTGTTTACTCAGCGGTGTGGGGGAGGAGGCGGGGACAGCGTAGTATCCTTGGCAGACGCTGTATTTATCTTTACCTAATATTTTTAGTCTGTTTTTTTTTGACAAATTCTTGGTTCTCCAAGGCTGCAGAGCGATTTACCGATCCACTCCCCCCCCACGCCCTCACACACACACAACCTCCCTCTCTCTCCTCTACCGGTCACGAACTCTCCCTCAACGAGTCATCATTGATCGGGGCAATACTGTTCTGGCGTTTCTCAAGATCACGCCACGTAAAGGGTAAGTTCCAGAGCTGTATTCAGGAAGCACAAACGTATAAATACAACGTCCCAGGAGGAAACCGTAACGAAAAATTCCCACCCTTGTGTCGGTCAGAGGGGTTTTAAGCAATAGCTGCTCATTACAGCGGCCGGCCCGCTCAGCAGCGTCACGGAGCGACCGCGACCCCCCGGGTCACTGAGCGCGAAGGTTCTTGGCTTTAGCTTCTGCAGAGTGTCGGGGATGTAAAATGATTACACCCTCTTGGGCTTAGTGCACTTGTCTAAAGATAAAGGGAGAAGGTGGGGGTGGGGGGGCGTGGGAGATTGGGGCGAACCCGTCGCAGCATGAGACCATCTAGGCGTCACCGTTACATTTCTTGAGATTAACAGCCGTCTCTACGTGTGAGATACCTTTTAGGGCGCTTTGCGCTCTGAGTGCTCGTAGGGGTTGGTAGGGGGGGTGGTGGGGGGGGGGTTTGGCCAGGTATGGCACGGGAGGATGCGGCGCAGTGCGCCCGCCTGTAGCGTGTCTATGAAATATTCATGCACTACTACTCAGACCTCTGAAGAGGGTAGAGCACAAAACGCACCTCGGCAGACGAGGAAAAAGACCCCGAGGAATAACAGAGAGGGAAAATAGAAGAGGGGGTGAAAATGAGAGGGAGGGGTGCACTGATTCATATTTATAGCAACAGAATAGGGAGAGGGGAAAAAAAGAATTGCGTTTTGATACATTTGTTCATGTAAATGCCCGTACATCAATACCAGGCCTGCAACATGTGACCAGATTTTACAGCCATGCTCGCTGGGGAGTCTCCTGGGTTACCAGCATGTTCTGGTGGGGGTCTGGAGCCGACCCAATCCCCTCCACCTCTCCTGTCTGTCTCAAAAAGGATGCATGCCAAACATAGATGAGCGGGCTCCGGAGGCGCGTGGACGTAGATCCATATGAGGACCAGAGGATGACTTCAAGCAGCAGCAGCAGTGAATCACAAACATTGCTCTTGGAACATTGGATTCAAATATGAGAAGTACGGATGTGTTGTCTTTGGGCCATTTTCTTTCGAAGTGGATAACAAAACAAATCTGATTAAAGAGCAATTGCGAGGATGATTAAACCCAAATCTGCAAAGATAATATCACTGACAAACAGATGGATAAATAAACAAATTCACCTTTTGGGAAAAATCTCCCTATTCTAATGATCCTCAGCTGCCCAAACTATAAGAGCAGTGACTGAGAGCCAAGACAGAATTGTTCCAGGTCAGGGATCCAAAATGAGGAGACAAAAATCATTAAAAGCCTCGAAGATCTAAGGAGAGGTGACCACGAGCAGCCCCCCGTGTACACTCAGTCATGTGGAGAACAGGATCTCCCTTCACTCTCCATCGCCTGTCTGGCTAACACCGTTAGCGTTAGCCGGCTCGGCGGCCGCCATGTTGAGAGCCATGCAGAGGCAATGCATGCGCTGGATCTTCTTCCACCTTTTAAACTTCAAGAAAGTCTGGAGTCTGGCGCGAGGTTTCTCACGTGTGGGGCGGAACTACGCCACGCGCAGAGAGCAGTGGAGGATTGTAAATGTAAAGACAACCGTTGAGACTTTTTTGGGGGGGGACGGGTTGAGCCCCCTATTTAGCGGCCGGATCGAGAGCTACCGACACACACTTACGCACACTTTGTTTTCAGAGGCCTTATTTTTTATCTTTAGTTTGGTTGTTTTTCTTGGCATTTGCGAAGGCACCGAATTATTTCTGGCTTTCTTCCTCATGAACATTTTATGGACGGGATGGCAAAAAGAAGGAACGCAACAAAGCCCAATCTGCCTGCTTTAATTAGCAGGGGGGGGGCATTTTGGATCTGGGTTGGCGCGCTTCAACGTCAGGAGCCGTCAATGAGGGAGCGTCTCGAGGAGGAGCTTATGGGCAACGAGGGGCGGGGATATCGGGGGGACGGGGGACGGGGGACACGGGGAGAGAGTCGGAGCGGGGTGGGGGTGTGTGCTACTTCCCGCTGATGCATGTGTTTATTTGCACAGCACATCCAAACAAAAGAGCGAGCGGGGAGGGCCACCCGCGCCCGACAAAAGGTCACGTTTCCTAACGCAGGAAAACTGCTTCCTGGCCGGCCCCGCGGGGTCGATCTCTCCAGGGAGCGGGGCCGATCCCGGCACGCCGCTTCTCAAGTAAACACAAGGAAAAGTGGTGTCAGCCTGGGAGGCAGAGAGAGAGGGAGAGAGACTCCACCTTGCACCTACTGTATGTATTCAAAGCTTGTCTTTGCAGAGCAACTAGAACGGAACGTTAGCGCGCCTGCATGCGTCAGAGCCCCCCCCCCCCTCAGATGAACGGTCGAACCGGCACCTTGTACCTTTCCCTTGTTAAGCAGCCCCCTGCCAGCACGGGAGTGAACACCACTGGAGACAAATTGCAGTAAGCATAAACGGTCCGGGCTCTCGGTTGGGGATCAGGGTCATCTGTACCTTGTCGAGGGCCTCAACGCCTCAGTTTTTCCCTTTCGCTTTTGGAAAGGCACGCGTCAAGTTTCCAGGAATAAAAGGGTCTATTAATCTAGCAGTCAATCCGCAACCCTGAGGAGAGATTGAGGAAGGGGGTGGGGGGGGAGGGTAAGGGAGGAGAGTTATCAACCCCTTGAGTGTTTGAAGTGCTATTTCATCTACGAGAGAGGCGCAGGTGAATACTAAGGGAGGGCTTCTCAAAGTCCCCTGTGGAAGAGCAAGATCTATGTGTGAATATCTTTGAAACGATAGAAAGGGCGTCCCCGGAGAGCGCGGCGGAACAGCGGTAAAGATTTATGCTGCGGGGGAGAGCGGAGCAACGCAAGGACGCCATGTGGCTCACACGGGGGCCGCGGGGTCCTCAGACGGGCGTTTGGCGAACATGAGGCACCTATCTGGGGTTAATTAAGATAACTTGTTATGTTTTATGAAACTTTTTGAAATGATCGATGTACAAACCGGAAAAGCATTAGATTGGAACTTTTTTCTTTATCAAATGATTTTCTTTCCTGTCAATTAAATGAGAAAGTATTGCAGGTTATATGTAGACATTTGGGATATAATCATTTTAATGGATCAGTATGACTAATGGGGCAAGTCTTGATGCTTCTTTTATTTGGAAAAAATTTAAAATATATATTAATTTTTTTATAGAGAAAATAGCTTCTTATCTGTCAAATGTTTTGATTTGCTTTCTTAAAAGGTATGACCACTTTACAACAATATAGTTGTTGGGAGTGATATTTTATTATATGGTCAACACATGGACATATATTAATATTCTGTGGAATATAAACTGTGGTTTATTGATTAAATATATGTGTGTTGGACCCCTCCAAAATCACATTTACCTTTAACCTTGTAAGCGTTAAATGCTCTTGCCCACTCGTCCAGGTCCCCCAAGCGGGAATTTAAGGATCTCCAGGGGCCATTTAGGTCTCCCAAGGGGCCCCATCCTCATCAGGTTCCAAACAAGTCCACATCTAACACTCTCATTTAATCCAACATGAACCCAAAGGACAAAGAAGTCCCACAGCAGAGGCGATACTCACAGGGACACGGTTCTGTTGGGTAAGAAGCTGGGCTGCAGCGTGTCCACCAGGTCCACGTCCTCACAGCCCACTTTGACTCCCCGGACGTGCTGCCTGCTCAGCTCCTTGGTCCTGTCCGCCGAGCAGTGGCAGCTCTCCACCATCAGGTCCGGGCAGCTCCTGTTGCTCAGGCTCGACTCCCACAGCCCGACGATGAGGAACACCAACGCCGGCGCCCTCATCCTGGACTGGGATTCTTCGCTTTCTTTCTTTTTGGGTAATTTAAAAGGAAATAAACGCACGCGCCTGTCAGGTGATGTCCTCCAAGAGCATTTCACGCGCTCCTCCGTCACATCACGGCTGCAGAACGCGATCGAGCTGCGGTTCCAATCTCACCTGCTGCGCCCCCCCAGCTGGAAACTATCAGCGGTTAAACCCCAAGAGGTAAATGACCCCCCCAAAAAAGCGGGTTTGGGAAAGCTGCATCTCTGCTGCGATACAAGAACTCTTTCAAACTGTTTTCCCCTTTCAGAGCAAAAAAAGAAAAAACTCCGGATGAACTTTACTGCGACACATCGTTCCTCGCGCGGCCGTGCGCGTGATGCGTGTGACCGCGGGACTTGTGTCCTAACCTACCACCCGCTCCTCCATCATCCACTTCTTGCGCCCTGCGGGACTTGTTGCGTGTCCCGCGTCCACGGAAGTCCCGCCCCACGCGAGGCGGCCGACACCGCGCCGGGTTCCTCACTTCGTCCAGTTCGGGGACGCGCGGCGCAGAGCGACACTTCTCAGACGGAAACTTTTTAAGTTATTTACATTTTGAAAAAGTGTCTCAGTTTGTTGGAATTCTGTGGATTGAACTGAAAGTGAAAACGTTGCGGAATCAGCGTGACAATGTTGTTTTGTTTCCTCACGGTGGTCGAAAGCGTCCCGGTTAATCTCCCGAATCCAAGCTGTCAATTTACATTATAATAATTTTATTCAACGGTCCTCCAAAGTAAAATAAATGCAAAATATAATAATATTTGTAAAATGATATGCAGTGTTGTTTGCTGGGTAAAATATGATGCTGGTGGAAGTTCATGTTCAACGTTAAATTGTGGCGTGGTCATGGATGGCATGTTTAGAATGATCTGTTTCATAAGGGTCTAATGTTTGTTGATAAACAATAACCACGGCGTGAAGAAATTGGTCATAAAATGTGTTCTGGTCTCTTATTGCAGGTAAGAACCAACCTCTCTGCTAACTGAAGCCGAAGTGTGTTAAAACTTGAATTATCTTCACTGACCAGCAGGGGGCGACTGCTCCAGGTTGCAACATGGAGGTCACCCAACTTCTGACTGGATTTATTCCCTCAGCAAACATTGTAAAGGTGAGTTAATGGTCTCGTCTAGTTAATACAGCGCGGGTTAAATGTTGAGTCAAATAGACCGTGAGGTGGAGCAGCAGAATGACCACGTCCAACATCTCAGATGGGGAAGCCCACCCTGTCCGTCGGCCCAACAATCCAGCTGAGCACATCTGCGGGCTGAGCGAGCGGTCACGCCTTGCGACATTAAAGCCATGAAAGAAAAGAATAGAAAGTAAAGCTCCCTAAACAAAAATATTCCTTTGGCTTTTGAATTTCTTTGTCACCCCCCCCCGAGTGTTCTTCTAATAACTTATAAGACGCACAGGGGCCAAAACCACCGTGCTCGGCTGGCTGCTTTACGAGCGCAGCCGGGACACGCTTGTAAACTTGACGCTCATTCAAATGAAGGCAATAAATAAAGAATATGAGCTGGAAGGTGACCAGGTGGACACGGCCTGGAACCCCGACGAGATGAATCACCTCTCGTTTTTTTTTTTTTTTTATTGCCGCAGCTAAAAAATATTTGAACCGCGCTTTCTCAGAAGGGTCTCGATGCTCCTGCAGCGACTGAGGGAGCCAGAAGTCAGACGGGGGAGTCTGCCGTCGCTCCAGAAGTCAACGCTCACTCACGTCGGAGTCGTCGGGCGTTTTGAGCAGCCCACGCACCGTGTCCGGGGGACATCAATCACTTCCGTTGAGGGTGCACATTGCGTATTAAGTGTCCTGCCCCGGGGAGACAGAAGCTGAGACAGCTGGCTAGTTGGACTCCCCGAGGCCGGGGGCGAGCTGCTTCCACTGTGTGTGTGTGTGTGTGTGTGCGCGTTCCAACCAAGCGCCAAATTCCTCCCTCATTATCTCCATTGTCTCTGCGACGCAGGCCGGAGAGCACAAAGGAGGGTCTGAAGCCGCTCCCACTGACCCCGCGAGCAGCCCCGCGCGCCCCACTTGTCTCCCGCGTTGACGGGCAAACACTCTCTCCCCCCTGCGGGAGCCAACCGCCCCTCCCCTCCCGCCTTCTCTCCCCCCCTCGTTGCGGCCCCACGTCCCGCCGTCACTCACGCAGGCTTGTTTGCACAGATGTGCGTGTACCACGTGGATGCAAGTGGCGGAGGGGACGATCCGCCCCGACTGCTGATCTGACCCCCCCCTCCCTCCCCCCTCCCCTCACCTGGCGGGCCCGCGGAAAAAAAAACGCTTCGCCGAGCTTCCTCTTAATGGAAAACAGACCCCGGGACAGGAGTCGGGTTTTCTCTCTGGCAGAGTCTGCTCTCGTGATTAAGATCACTAATGGGAGCAAACAACGTTATTTGAACTCTAGAATTCTTCACATGGTTGTGAGCAACGCAAACATGTCGCGCGTCCCTCCGTGTTCGCGGCTCTTCATTATTTCTCGTTGACTAAGACGAATAGACGCAGTCACAGTCCTCACTAAATATTTACCAGGTCTACTTGAGGAGGACGGGCCGCGGCGGCGTGACGGACTCATTAAGACGCGACCGCCTGTCTTTCAATGGGGTGTCGAGTTTGAGATCACACTTCTTCAAGAACAGGCCTTGAACCACGTAACCGATATCGGCTGTACGGAGCATTTTTCAATTCACCGTTCTGTTTTTTCAGATCGGAGGTTTTGTTTTGGTTCAGTCCCACGGCTCTCATCAGCGGTGGTATTGCGTTTCCCAGGCACTTGTTAGTAGAAAAAAATACTAAAATAAGAAAACGTCCTGCTCCAACGGAGTGGAACACTTCCAAGCTGGTCATGAACATGAACCCAAATGGATGCTGAAGTACTTTTACTTCTTGATGTGTAAATGGGAACTATTTACTGGAATATTCACCATATTGTCTTTGGAATGAAGCCAATGTGGAAGTTCAAGAAATCTGCAGCTCCTCAAATTGAGGCTTGATGTGGATCGAAAATACCCAATGTAAGAGCAAAAAGCCATTTTGGTCTGTAAAGCTATTTTTTCTGTTCACGACAAGTGTACGAGGGGGGAAATGACCAATCACGCACCAATTTAGTTCACCTTAAGGCTTAAAGTAAGGCATAACTATCACAACACTTATTCAGAAAGCTATGGTTGATGTCACGGAGGCTAGTTCCCAAATAAATGTCATTTTTAGATGATATGTCAATGTTGTGTTTCCATCTTGTTGCACTGCTCACAATTGTCTAGAAAGAAAAGGAAACGTTGCAGGTTTTATGCAGATTTCAAAGCTGAGGGGATGTTTGCGCCTCTTTTTTTCCTGTTTCACCATCTTTTTAAAGCACCTGCTCAGTATTTCACCTGAACACCAGCAAATTGCTTCCTTTCACAAATACAACCTAACCTTAGTGTTAGCAGCTCAAAGGCGGGTTCACGTCTAAAGCTCACAACACATTGGTTTCTTTTTCGAGTCCAACAGACATTTGTGTCTCTTAGTCACTTCTTTTCCACGTGTTACCAACGGCTTCTGGACATCTGATGCAATGCGAGCGAGCACTGGACACCTGCGACAGGTATCGAACACCAACAGGCCCCCGAGGCCCGAGCTGTAAGCCCAGAGGATGTTTGTGAATTTATAAAGCAATAAAACCAAATAATTACACATTGTGCATTGGACAATCTGGCTTCAGTTCCTGCTTTAGATTGAGGTTGAATTTACCAACAAAAAACTGAGACTGCCTATAATAAGGTGCCAGGAGGATTCGGTAAAGCAGCGCTACTTTTAAACTTGAGAATGGAAGACGGTGTGAGCCGGCTTGTTAGTGCTCCTGCAGTGTCAGGGTGGACCCGCTGACCACCGACCGCCGGGGCGAGCACCCCGGGGACGGACTGGTAGCGCGTTCAATGATCTAAACACAGACGACTGGAATTCTTTGTCTGAGGCCCTTTTTTATCAGAGTTGTTCGCCTCCACAGCTGTATTCCACTTTTCCCCTCGCCCGAGAATATCTGCAGTCAATCACGAAGATGCGTGCAACGAGTCTGAGCTACAGTCCCCCCCCTCATTTACAACCCTGGCAGCTTTTCCACAAAATTGTTTTTTGAGGGAGGCTGCGGACAAGGAATTGAGTGTGTTCATTTGTAATCACCGTTTCCCCTCAAGTCTCGTAAAACGCGCAGCACATAAACTCCTCGGCCGCCTTCGCATCGCTGCAGCGATCATCGTGAAATTTCATCAGCTCGCTCGTTTGTCATCGTTAGCGGCGACGGGGGTCAATTCGCTGCCGCCTGGCGATCCATTTGACGCAAATAGAAGCTGTTACTGTGGCTTTTATTTTGTTGTTCTGACACGCAGCGGCGGTGGAGAGACGGGGGGGGGCATACGTTTTCCCGGCTGTGTCTGTGCTGCAGCAGGGAACCCAAGCTTATGTATTCTGGTCTCCATCCGTAATCCGGCCTGCGTGAGAGGGGGACCAATGAGGGGATGAAGTACCGTGGGGACGTTCCCTGGCAGAGGAGAAAGGAAGGCCACTGCGCAGAGATGTGCTATTTCAACAAGTCATTTTCTTTATCATGTGCCGAGTCTTAAAATTGTTATTTCTTTTTTAAAACACAACATGGAAAACAATCTGCCAGCAGGGTGCGAAGCGCTAACGTGCACCTTTGAGCTTAGCTCAGGTCACTTTTAAAACAAGGAGCAATCTCACTTCCTGTGGCTTTTTCTCTTTTACCGTTTTATTTCTACTGACACATTTGGTAAAAAAAAAAAACATTACTTGTTTGACATTTACTTTTCATGTGAGATGTTCGTGGCTTAAGTGGGGTGCTGTCTGTTACACAGTGATGGGAAAAAGTAAAATAGATATGAGCATAACAAAGTGATCTCGCTCCCCGCGATGGATGGATGGATAATAAAGTGAGACCCATGGATCAAACAGTCCCACCAGTGTGGTCCAAACATGGCTAATGACATGGTAATAACATGGTAATGCCAATACTGCTGAATGGGGTACAAAAAACTAAAAAGGGTTTCACACAATGCTTTCCAGTGTTTATAATACAAACAATAAACAGGAAATGGAAAAGCAAAAGTCAGTTTTAAAAATAAGCACACACAACCAGAACCTATTTTGGACTTATTTCAAACAAAGGCGTTTTGTCTGATTGGTTGAATCTATAAACATCCACTGGGGCTTTGCATGTGAACTCTGAACCTGATGGCCGTAAGCTTAAGAATAGCGAGGGGCCAACAGGCAGCGCCGCCATAGAGTCCCCCTATCATGGCCATTTTTACAGCATAATTGCCGCTTGTTCTCGGTGGTGAGATAGGTCATCACGCAGTCCGGGCCGAGGCTCTCCAGGCGCAGGAATTTCACGCCTGTCGCTGGATCGCTATCCATCTTTCTGCCTTCTCTATTAAAAAGACATGCTTCGCCTCGTTCTGGGGACGTCGTTTTTATAGCTGCTGGATGTAGCTGGACGAATGCAACGAGGCCTCGGTTCATCCCCGACCGGATGCTGCATGAGCCGAGTAAGTGCTTCTTTTTTTAACCATCCCTAATTCACTGCGGATTCACTCATCCTTGACGTGGCCTTCATACAGAAACGTCTCTCTTCACCACCGCCAAAGAGGATGGGTAGGAGGAAATGAAAAAAACACATGTCTCCCACCACAGGAGCCTCCAGCTGAGCCCTGCCTCACCAAGAGACGGTTCGCCAAGACGTTGAGGCGACTCTTGGCGTTCAGTGATGCGTTCTCATTGGATATTTCCCGGTCAGGGTGTGCTGGTGGCCTTTGACCGCCGACCGTGCCCGCCTGCCCGGGCTCTGTCGCACGTTCGTCCATTAACCGAACCGAGCCCTTTGCCCACAACGCTCTCTAATTGGTCTAAACCGCCTATATATGGCTCACGCGCCCGGGGCCTTCCCACAGAATGTTCCTCCGCTGCTCTGCCACAGCAAAGACTGGGAGGATGCAGTGGGCTGTGGGCGCAGGGAGCAGGGGCGTGGCTGGTGGGAGAAGAAGAAAACAGAACAGAGGGTCATGTATGTAATGTTCCCAGACGGGCCAAAATTGCTGATAGCCCTGAAAAACTGATCTCATTGCATCTGAGGTCCTGGTAGAATCGACATGGTTCTAATTGGTAAATTACTAAAAAAGTTACATTACTGAAGTTAATCTGTGACTGGTCCTGATGCTGTTGACCAGTTGGCGGCGTAGATGTTTCAAACTATGCCTCCAGCATCAGTTTTGTGGATGCGTCAGGGATGGTTCTTCCATTTCTGCCTGTTGGATCCATAGTTTATTTTCAAAATAGAGTTCTGTCTTCATGGGGAAACGTACAGTTTCAGCTAATTACATGCATACAGTCTTTTTAAAAAGGACTTCCAAAGTAGGTTTACGTTTAGGTTTAGTATTCTGGTTGGGTGTTATGATGTAAGGTGTGTTACATAACCAACAATTACCTAAATTCAAATGCAATATTACGGTAAACACGAGACATAACCAGCTGTCCCCCTAAAATGGGTTAGCGGAGCAGCCGTTCTACCTGTATTTTATCAAATGCCGTGAGAGATGTCAACACAACAAAACATTACACCACAATGCCTTAACAAGTATCCCCCAAACTGACAGAAGAGAGTAGATCCACTCTCAAACTGTCCTTTGCAGGAGATTTACACCCGTCTGTCTCTATTTACTAGTTTGCAGTTGCTATTGACCCTCATCTTGGCCTCATTCTTGACTTAACAGACCATGGACATATTTTATTGACTGAAATACGAGTCTCTTATTTTTCAGGTCAATTAATTCCCTTTACTCCTAAAAATATAGACGTGGAACCAGACAGGGTTTCAGATAAATGTATCTCTCAACATGTCCCGACTTTATGGACAAGTGTAGTGGTGAAATAGCTACATGAGTTTAACGCGTGACTACACAGGGAATTTATTGCCTATATTGAGCAAATGCCACGAGGCAATAAAAATGTC